TGTCTACCACCAACAAGAAGGTGTACACGGAGGAGGAAGATCGGTTTTTGCTAGTCCTGCTCGATAAGTACGGCATTGACTCTGCTGGACTGTACGAGAAGATGCGCGACGACATTGCGGAAAGCCCTCTGTTCCGGTTTGACTGGTTCTTCCTTAGCAGGACGCCCGTTGAGTTGAGCCGTCGCTGCACCACTCTCCTCACCACCATTGTCAAGGAGTTTGAGGATGTTCACCCAACCAAGGGTGCCAACGGCGTCAACGGCAAGCTCAAGAGAGAGGCCGAGGACGAGGAGAACGACGAGGATAGCATCCTTGGTATGGCCCCTTCGAAGAAGAAGACCAAGAACGGCGTCAAGGTGAGTGCTAGAGTGGTTGGATGAATGAACTTTGCTAACCAAACATATAGAACAAGGCTCTGGACAACGTCAAATCGGAGGTCGCAAGCAAGAACACATCCGCCGCGCCATCGAGGGCATCGAGTGTCGCCTCGAACAAGTCTGCCACGAATGCCAAGGGCAAAACCAAGGGCAAGAAGAAATAGCCGCGGGCGAGTGACGCTACATGAGCAAGATTAAAAATTGGTCTTAAGGTTGGGGATAATGGCTTTTCATGGCAGTGACTACGATAGATGGAGGCGTTTGGTCTGGCATAACCTGTGGTCGGTTATCTGGTAAGGAACCTCTTTGTATGACTTTCGCGATAGAGGGGACTATGCCGTCTAGTGTTAGGCATCATTAGTTCGGACAACACGAGAATAAAATGCATTCAAAAGATGGCCTCTTTTGATGATGCGGTGTATGAAGGAAACATAGGATAATACCGTACCATGTCAGCTGACTTAGCCCGGTGCTACTTTCCACCGCTACATACTCGTCCCTTCAGGTCCATGACCTTTGGTTCTAGGACACAATTGAGCCTTGTTCAAATGGAAAGCTACTCGGTCGATGTTACTCGCTTCCCTACGGCCGAGTTATTCGCGTTGAGTCCCCCGATAATCCTGAAGATCATAAGGGCCATGGAATCGCCAGTCTCAGTGTATCACAAATAGATAGTTCTGCAGCACAATACCATATTTCAGTCCCCCGTGACAATCTTTATATCCCCATGGCGCCCATGCCGGCATCGAAGGCAACGACTGCCGCTCATCGCTGCCAGACATCAACAGGAGCCGGAAGTCCCTTGAATACTAGGTGGGAAAATTGTATTCATTGACCTCGCCGGCGGGGAGAGCTCCTCGTACGGCGGTTAGCAGGCGCATCTAGTTTATTACAGCTTCTCCGATAGGGTGAAGATAGGGGACAGTGAGCCCTAATAGAGGTTGTCGCATTTCAATGTCTATTGCTGTGACGGCGAGACTGGTGACCGTGGAAGAAGCGGCAGGCAAGTTTCGATTACAGTAGGTGCTCTCTGTCTTGGGTTCCAAACATTTTGGTGCGGGTGTCGATTGGGGCGTAGTAGTCAAGGCACTTCCTTAGAATAGGCGTCTTCTCTAATGGGGTCGAGATGCGGTCTATTTAGACGGCACCGATAGCTAAATGAGCACCATAGTTGGCTGAGTGACTGATGGATTTCTTACGGGTTATCATCAGCAGTCTATCATTGTTATACGTGTGAATGTTTCGTAGCTGATGAGGATTTAAGACCTGCGACAAATACTACATCGGCCTGCTATCACAAGTTGTATGAGATTGATGAATCATTTTTACAGCGGCAACATTATTTTGTGAACAAAGTGAATGTATGGAACGTTGTTGCAAGCATTGTTAGTCGGGCTGGTATGATAGTCTTGTCAAGAGTTCATCATTTTGTGGTTGCTTTTACTTGAGACCACTCAGCATTATTGGGATGTAGTCTTTGATGTGCGATGCAACGTATTAATAGAATACAGAAATACAAACCAGTCTTTCATGTAATCAGAATGCAATAGCAAAAAGATTCTTAGCAGTTTAGTGTAAGCAACTGGCAAAAGACGGTAAAAAATCGCAAAAAGATAAGACGCGATCCGTGGGACTCGAACCCACAGCCTTCCGATTAAAAGTCGGACGCTCTGACCAAATTGAGCTAGGAAAGCGACGACTTTTGTTGAGTTTTCGAGGTGATTTGGCTCACTATGTACCCTTTATCGAGGGTGGGGTTGCTGAACGTACCACATCGGTCTACGATCCACGCCAAGTGAGCCCCCCGCCCATTTCAGCCTGGACTCTTTTCTCACCGTTCAGCAAATATTTGAGTTATGAAGCGACTTAATGTGTATGGAGCAAACTGTGCAGATGACCTACTGGGTTTTGATACAGATGCCTAGATGACAAACGTACTGCACACGACGTGTATGTATCATGTAAGATACATTCAGGTGAACAATTATGCACATCAGCTCACACCCAAGTTGATGCCTGTTGATTCACTCTCAAAATATCTCTTAAATAATCATAGTTTTAGGCAGGCAATCGCAATAATTGTAGATACCAGAATATCAACAACATCGCCAGACAATAGCCGCGTCAGACTGTCAGTGGTTGGCTGGCGTAAGATGAACCTGGAACGTCATTCCTGCCCCGCAGTAGCAACAATAGCACTAGCACTGCCCCTCCATCCCAGATCGACATCCCAGCTCCAGGTCCAGGTTCCCACTCGACACTGTCGACCGCCATTGTGGTGCCTGGCTAGAAAGCTGAACCCCGATGCAACTCACGCTCCCCAAGACTCTTGATCGTTTCATCATCTTTGCTCGGAGCTTTAGGGAATTCTATTCGCATTGCATACCAGCGTATTTGGAGTTCACACATCATGTCTGTCACCATCGAAAAGATCTTGGCTGCTTCGCCCGCTACTCAGCGTGGCCAGCCGACACAGCTCTCCACAGACAACAAAGGAGAGCGCATTGCTTACGCTGTTAGTCCCAACTGCACCTCTCGACGAACAATGCCTTAGCTAACAATGCATTCTCACAGGCCGGCAAATCCATCTTCCTCCGATCCATCGATAACCCTTCCGTCTGCAAGCAATATACCGGCCACACAGCGGCGACGAGCGTCGCCCGGTTCTCTCCCAGCGGCTTCTACGTCGCCAGTGGAGATGTGTCTGGATCCGTGAGAGTCTGGGACGCCGTCGAGGCCGAGAACACAAAGGGTACGGCATGATACCTGCACAACACAGTCAGCTGTCTTTCGGTCGGTACTGACTACATTACCAGGCGAATACCACATCATCTCGGGGCGCATTAACGATATTGGCTGGGACGGCGACTCCCAGCGCATCATCGCCGTGGGTGACGGCAAAGAGCGCTTCGGCCACTGCATCACGGCCGACAGCGGCAACTCTGTCGGAGAGATTAGCGGCCACTCCAAGGTCGTCAACTCAGTCGCGGTGCGGCAACAGCGCCCACTGCGGGCAGCAACCGTCTCTGATGACAGCTCCCTGTGCTTCCTGCACGGTGCGCCTTTCAAGTTCAACTCGAAGAACGCCAACGCCCACAAGGGCTTCGTCTTTGGAACTGCATTCTCGCCCGATGGCAGCCAGCTCGTAACGGTCGGTGCCGACAGGCGCATTCAGCTCTACGACGGAAAGACGGGTGAGCCTACGAAGTCGATCGGCGAGGGAGAACACACTGGCAGCATCTTTGCCGTTTCATGGTCTCAGGATGGCACCAAGTTTGTCACAGCAAGCGCCGACCAGTCTGTCAAGCTCTGGGATGTGGAGTCAGGCAAGGCTACGCAGACGTGGAAGTTTGGAGACGGCGTCAGCATCGGCGACCAGCAAGTCGGCGTTGTCTTCCCCCATGGCAGAACCGACGGCCTGATTATAAGCTTGAACTTGAACGGCGACTTGATCTACCTCAACGAGGGCAGCGATAAGCCTAGCAGGATTGTTCAGGGCCACAACAAGAGCATCACGGCATTGGGCGCGTCGTCTGATGGCAAGGGGCAGACGCTCTGGAGCGGCAGCTTCGACGGGCGAGTTTGCCAGTGGGATGTTGCGACTGGTACTGGCTCAGTGGTTGACGGACAAGCGCACACAAACCAAGTCACTCAGTTCAGCGCCGAGGCGGGACAGACGTACAGTGTTGGATGGGACGACCACCTGAGGATAGTAGACGAGTCAGCCAACACGTTCGCGGGCGAGGCCCTCAAGCTTGCTGCGCAGCCCAAGGGTGTAGCGGCCACGGATGGAAAGGTGTACGTGGCCACCATTGAGGGTGTCGATGTCTACCAAAAGGGTCAGCTTCTCTCCGAGAACCGCCTTGGATTCACTCCTGGCGCTGTGGCTGCCTTCGGTTCGACCGTGGCTGTGGGATCGGGCAACTCTGTCAAGATCTACACTGCGGACGGGTCAGGCAAGCTCTCCGAGATAAAGTCGGTTGACAAGTCGACGGCTCTTATTTCTTGCCTGTCATTCTCCAAGGATGGTCAGTACCTCGCCGCAGGTAACCAGATCGGCAAGATCGTTGCCTACAAGACTGCCGACTGGGAAGTTGCGACGGACCGTTGGTCTGCGCACACGGCAAGGGTTACGTGCATCAGCTGGAACGATACGGCAACGCACGCCGTCTCTGGAGCTCTGGATACCAATGTTTGCGTGTGGAGTCTGGCCAAGCCTGGTAGCCGAGTCAAGGCTCTCAACGCTCACAAGGATGGTGTCAACGGTGTTGCGTGGGTTGAGGGTGGCAGCAAGATTGCGAGTGCCGGAGGCGATGCCGCGATCAAGGCTTGGACCGTGGCTGGGCTGCAATAGCTGGTCTTGGCCGACAGTTTTGTAGATGTTCTCAATAGGTGATGGATGAATAAATGAAAAGCGACATGATGTTATCTCGACGATGAACGTCGTTCGACTTTGGGTATCTCTTGTCTAAGGGGCAAGCTTATTGCTACAGTGTTCATGACCCCACTTCGACCGTCCTCTCTCCTACAACCTCATAGAGTATTCGTCATAGTACTCTCCTCAATCTTCTCCAACCATGATTCCTCTGGGAATTTGAAAGGCTTCCAGTTTTGATAAGACTCCTAGCCCATCGTCATCTGCGCCACCTCCTCCCGCTGAACCTCCTTTCCAGCACCGCCGCCGCCGCCGCCGCCACTCGCTTTAGTTGTCTCCGGCGCAGCAGCAGCATGACCAGGTTCATCAGCGTAGCGATTCATAAGCGCGCCGCTGACCTGCCAGACATCCACGTCCACCGGAGCCGCTCCCGTTGTCGCGACAGGATGAGGCCGGTACTGCTGCTCAGTCTTATCGAACTGCAGGGCCAGCTGCTCCAGAGCCCACGCGATGTCGCCGAGGCGGCCCCAGATCCCGTAACCCTGGCGCTGGATCTCTTCGGCGAGCTCGACCTGGTGGTTATCCTTTAGGGTTGGGTTGGGGACCACTACGAGGGGGACGCTGACGCGCATTCCGTCGAGGATGGTTCCCGTGCCTGGAAATATCTCGAGTCAGCTCACACATGCACACACATATGTTTTTGTACAGGCGGATACATATACTTGAGAGCATCGAGTCACAACGCGAAGGATGATCCCTGGCTTACCTGCATGACAGATGACCACACCAGCCTCCCGCACACCTGCCTGCGCTCTACATTTGACCATCTCGGTGGTCAGGTCATCGACAAAGTCAAAGGCGGTGATTTCGATTCCCGGGTATTGATTCAGAAGCGGAGGTAGCATCTGGCGGGAGAATTCTGCGTAGTCCTTGCCACATTGGAGCGTGAGATGTGTGTAGCGATTCGAGGTGACATGGTCCAGGAAGGCGGCGGAGAGGACTTCAGTAAGGAGCTGGGTGAAGCGGGCTGTTGCGCCTACTGTTACGAGACAGTGGCGCTCGAGGGGCGTGGCTGGTTTTGCGGCCATGATGTGGTTGCGGCGCACCGTTGTGCTGAGCGCGAATGAGAGACGCGGTCTTTTGTGGTCGAGGTTTGATTGTTTATGAAGAGACGTCCGAGTGAGTGGATGGCGATTTGAAGTTGTGTTGAAGCTCTCACGGAAAGTCACTTCTACAGGCACAGGTACCAAAAGGCACCTTCCACTGCCTTGGGTGACGTTCGGCCGCTGTGGGACAGCCGATTGGTCGTAGGACGGGCTAGCAGATCGGGTGTTGTAGCGGCCGCTGGCCTCTATGAAGGCGGGATCTACGCCCTGGCCAGGAAGCTAGGGCCGTCCTTGGCTACCCGTCTAGCTGGGAACCCTTAATCTGTTCCAAAACCAGCCCAGCTTGCTTCGTTGAGGTCGAGGGCATTTTCAACTTCACACGTTCTTTTACAATGGTTTATATTCATCTATGGGGTATCTATTTTACTGCCATCCTACTCTCTAGCCTCCTGCTTCGATTCTACCTTCGTGTACTGGATGGCTGTCTTCTGAAATCTCCAAAATGGCTCGACACCCATCTCTTGGAATCTCTTCTTCTCGTACACCTTCGTTACCCCCCAGCTGCTCACAAACATGACCACTACGATTCCAATTATGCATACGCCGGCGATGAGTGGCGCAAGAATCGAAAAGACTGTAAAGCCATAGCTCACACTTTGGAACGCGCTGTCACCAACGAGTCTGTCCGTGGCTAAGCCGACCTGCATCGCTGTCAAGACGATGACAACATAACCGAGCATCGCCGCCAGCGTTGCAAAGTTGTCCCGGATCAAATCTTCGTACACGGCGTGAGAGACTACCTTGGAATACCCCCGGAGCAAGTATCCCAGGCGGACGCGGTAAATCTTGTTCAGTCGACTGAGACGAAGCTCGCCGTACCAGTACCGCGGGTTGACGGACGCATAACAATGGTTCTGCGCGATCTGGGCCGATATTGCCTTCCACTGGTACCAGTTCATCCGATCCGGGAGCAGGCCTCTTTCGACGGCTATGCGGAAGTCGCTCTCATACGCGATGAGGGCTGTGTAAGTGAAGAGGAAACCGAGCGCGCAGGAGACAAGCTGCTGCTTCCGTGGATCAGACTGATCGCCCGAGGCTTCGACTAAGTTGGCGACCCAGAAGTCTGGGCTCAGCAGCCACCGTGGTATCGGCTTGACGAAAATTCGATTCTTGGCCCAGACGAGATGCAGTTCGGGGTTCTCTGTGATGTGGATCTCGCGCGATATCGTCTGGTAATGCAGAGGCCGAGGCGGCATTGGACGGCCGCAGATCCAGAGAAGATCCTGGACATCGTTGAGTCGTCGGACAAGCAGCTCTTGTTCCAGAAATTCAATGTCGTCGGCTTGCGGCACAGTGATGTGATCGTGCTTGGTTCGGCTCGTTGCCGGTAGCAGATCGCTCCAGTCTCTTGGCTCCTGCACTGTTACTGCGGGATTGACGGCGTCATCGAGAACCCGGACAGTAAAGGGCACAGACGACTTGTCCATGGTGCGACTCGAGAAGCTTGACATATGGACGGCGAATCTTGCTTTGTGCTGGTCTTCGGCGTTGTCTGGTCCCATAACTTTCGGTCCCGACGCTCTTCTCTGATCTTGGCGAGAGATATCACGGTCCTCCGAGGCGCAGTCTATCAGATCGTCGCTATCGGGAAGCGGGATGTTGGTGACAGACCGTACTTGCTTGCAGAAACGCCCGCAATGGAAACAACTCCAATGGTGGTAAAAGCCCGACCGAAAATAGCCAACGGCGTGATTAAAAACCTTTCCAACAAGCCCGATTTGGCTGGTAAAAAGAGTAGGCAACGATATACCAAGGGTTCCAACAGTGGCGGTCCCCTGTCATTTTAAGATGAATTGATTGCCTAGAGCCTTCCCGCCTGCAGCAAGCAAACCGTGTTGAGATTCCGAATACAGACGAACCCGAACTCGCTACTGCAGCGTGAGACGAGTTGCTTACTTGTGGGCCAGCGCTACAAAATTAGAGGTGGCTTTGGTTCAGCTGAAAGACACTATTGGCGCAGTCGGACGATCGTTGGCATCGCAGGATTACAATGCATGGGGGTGGCTGACACCGCTAAGGTCGTTTCGGGCCGCCCAGTTGCAGGGAAGGGGGCTTATTAGCATTTTGGACCCCAAAGTGGCAGCCCTGTCAGGCTATGCTTATTACGCCGGTGCCTAGCTCCGTGGTCGGTTCGTATTCAAAGCTTGTTGATCCCCAGTTTCTCGGAAGTCGCGGTTGCATTTGTCGTTTTGTCAGGTTCGTTTCGTTGTGTATGTTTCTTCGCAGCGAGTAGTCACCATCATGTCTATCCGCCGCACGGGAACGAGAAGAGTGCCTCACGGCGCCTCTGGGGCTCCGAAGCCCAAGACGACGTATCAGACAGTTCAGCAGGGCTTCAGGGAACTGTACAATCCTCAGAAGGAGACTGGGTCTGCCATTGATGTTGAGTATGTCTCGATCTTCTTGAGTTATGAGTTGTGGTGGTATCTCAAGAGTCTAATACAACCGATAGTGTTGTCTTTGTACCTGGATTAGGTGCCCATCCGGAGGACAGCTGGAAGTCGGAAGCCGGTTTCAACTGGGCAACCGGAATCTATGAGGGTGTCACGAAAAACTCGTCTGAATCTACCAGCAAAAAGGATGGTCTGGCGAGGGACTTCCCCAAGGCTCGCATACTTTTGTACCAGTATGAATCAGCATGGGTTGGGGATCTCAAAGTCAAGACTTTCTTGAGAGACATTGCCAAATCAATGTTGGAAGGGCTGCAAGCGAATCGTGAAGTAGGTTGATCGTGCTGAAGTCTGAATCGCGAGCTTGATCTAATTTGTGACTTAGAAAATAAGGGATCGCCCCATTGTCTTTATCGGACACAGCATGGGAGGTCTGGTTATTGCCAAGGTAAGAACCCGGCTACAATTGAATTAATGAAGTGAGTCGAGGCTTACGGAATGTCAAGGCTATCATACTTGCAGCAGAAACATACAGGGAAATCTTCCCAAGGCTGTTTGAGTGCATCGCTGGATGCGCCTTCTTTGGAACGCCGTTCGGCGGTGCTCAAGTTGCCGCCATCGCCTCCATGCTGGGTAGTATCGGCGAACAACTTGGGTACACCAAGTCGTCGGCGTTGGTAGATATGATGAAGCCCGGAGACGAGAGCTTGAACGAGCTCCGAGGCGACTTGCTGCGGTTAGCTGCCAAAATGAGCCCGCACGTCCAGCTCTTTTGCTTCTACGAGAATCACCCAACGGACTTTACTCAAGCAAAGCTAGGCCCAACCATGTCGAAAATCGCAAAGACGGTTGTTTCCAAGAAGCTGCAAGACTTTGTGTCCAGAGAGTCGGCGACATTACCTGGAATCCAGGAAATGGGTCTTGCCGCCAACCATCGAGATCTTGTAAAGTTTAGCGACTTCAAGGACCCCCGGTACCAACTCGTCAGAGAGCCGCTTAAAAGACTCATTCATGGCGCCAACCTGGTCGCCAAAAACAGACTCAACTCAACCCGTGGAATCGAGCCAGAGGTTGTCAACAATGTCATGGAGTTGCTGAACGGCGGTCAAGTCTCGAAGAAGCGCAAAATGCTTGCGCCTCAGTTCCCACCATCGATCTGGATTCCCAAGGCGGAGGCATACTTGGAGTGGTTGAAAGAGGACCACGAAGCGGGGAGCGCGACACAGAGGCACAGAGGACAGGCACTGTACGTCCGCGGTCCAGAGGGAAGAGGAAAGACGCGAGCGACTATGGCGGCCCTCCAGGACATCGACAACATCATCTCAGCCGACGAAAAGGTGAACCACGGGCGAGGAGCCGCCCTCGTTGCGTACTTCTTCTGCGACCCGTCTTCGGACTTTTTGACTGCTGAGGACTTGCTGAAGTCGCTGGTGCGGCAGCTCATCGGCCAGCAAGCCACCTTGTCTGTGTACGCGAAGCACTTTGTGAAGAAGAAGGGCGAAGATTCGTCAAAAACTTCGGCGAATCTCACAGTGGAGAACCTGTGGCAGACTCTTCAGGATATTCTCACAGACGAGTTTATCGGTCGCAGAGTCTACTTCGTCATCAACAACTTGCACGTTCTGCCTGAAGATGCCGAGTCAACTGTCAAGTTGATGCGGTTCCTCAACGCCGAGCTGCAAGAACTCAAGACAGAGGACGACAAGCGAGTGCCTACCAGATGGTTTCTCACAAGCCGGGAAGTCCATCACGTGGAAGACTCGTTGAAGGTGGACGGAATCCAACTCATCGATCTCGAGGATGACAAGTACTGCGACCAGGTTCAGCGGGAGCTGCGCAAGGCGGCACAGGAGAAGGTGCAAAAACTCGGCGAGGACAAGAATTACAACAAGGCGCTCACATACTATGCGAGCAGTCTAATTGGTAAGAGGGCATCCAACAGTCAATGGATCAAGCTTTCCTGCATGCAGCTTGCGGAGCTCCCTAAAGCAGAAAGTGATCTCAAGATTAGACACATGCTTGAGGGTATGCCTCAGGAGCTTAAGGCTCTCTTGGACGCTGCGTGGGCGCAAATCTTTCAATCTAACGAAAAGGAGACCGACAAGATAAAGGAGCTGCTGCGGACACTCGTTTTGACGTTTGAAGAGCCTACCGAGGATGAGCTTGTTGTTTTGGCGGGCTTTCCCGCCACGGAATCAGGAAAGGCCGAGCTTCAAGATTTGGTGAAGAAGTGCAGGCCGTTGTTGACGGTGACGAGAAGCGGCAAGTCTGAAAATACCATTGGCTTCATGGACAGGGTCGTCAAAGAACATCTCCTGGAAAAGGAGACGTCCAGAAAGACGCTTGGCATGTCGAATGACGAAAACAAGTGGCAGCAAGGCATCATTGCGCTCCGGTGCTTGGCTCACATCAAGGAAGCGTTCAACTTTCCTGAGGAAGTGAAGCCTGTTGTTGAGGAGGCTCAGGAGGAAAACGAAGAGGCAGAGACCCAGTCTGCCAAGGACGAGGACGAGGAGAGTGAAGCATCCGAAGCAGATGGGGAGGAGAGCGCCGCTACTGAGTCTGAGCAAGACGATTCGGACAGCGACACGGACTGGGACGACGATGAATCCACCTACGGCTATCAAGACGACGAGGCCGAAGAGGCGAGAATACTGGCCGAGAAGGTGCTACCTTACCCCATCAAGCACTGGCTGCACCACGCCAGCAGAGCTACACTGGAGATCGCGGAGGATCTCAGCGAGGATGACTTTTGGAAGAAGCCGGAGTCTTTGATTAGGTACCGGTGGCTCGTCGTCTACATGTCCATGACGAAAGTGCTCGATGGCTTTGAAGCCAAGGAGTTGACTGCTTTGCATATCGCCGCTGCGGTCGGATTCAAGCAGCTTGTCTCCGCGCTCATCCAGAACGGCCATGAGCACGAGATCAACAAGAGGGACAATCTCGTCAATACCCCTGTAAGGCTACATTCTATCCAATCTTGAGCCACTGCCAGCTCGGAAATTTTGGCTAATTACTAACATTCGTGGCAGCTTCATTTCGCCGCATACATAGGCAGACCAAACATCGTGGACGAGCTTCTCAAAAGAGGCGCCAGTATCGACGATGGTATCGATATTGGCGAGCAGACTCCGCTACACATGGCGGCATTTGCTGGCCACGTCAAAGTCATGGAAAAGCTCATTAAGAGGGGCGCAAATGCCAACGCCATCGCCAGTGATGTCGGCCCAGTCATGAATGCCGCCATTTCTTCCGGTAGTCCAGATGCCGTCAAGCTACTTGTCGAGAAGCAGGTTTCGCTAGCCGTCGAGGACGAGAACATTGACTCGCCTCTGGCGTTGGCTGGTCTCCACGCAGACCTGTCCATGTTTGAATATCTCACGCAAACCTACGCTGACAAGCTCCCGGCCAAAGAGTTTGACAAGGCCTTCATCAAGGCTGCCGTTTCTGGCAGGGTGGACGTGTTCAACAAGTTACTGACTTACTCTCACCCCCAAGAGTGCTTCCAGACTGCGCTGAAGGTGGCGGCAGAGGAGGAGAACTGGGACATTGTCATGATACTTCTGGAGCAGCGCAGAGGTCTCGACTGCAACGATCTCTTCCTTAGTGCGGCAACTACGGCGGAGCATCAAGACAAAGTCTTGGAGGCTGTCTGGAAATATACCAACGGGAACATCAGACCGGAGATTCTCAATGAGAGTCTATATGAGGCTACTGATCTCGAGAAGGAGTCTACAGTCAGGTTGCTGATTGATGACTTCAAAGTCAATCCTAACGCCACTGGAGAATAGTAAGCAACCTAACCTACTACATCGTTGTGGAGGACCAGACTAACAACGTTTAGTTATGGAACCGCCTTGACTGCCGCAGCATATGATGGCACCCTCGCCATCGTCAAATTGCTCCTGGACAGAGGTGCTGATGTTGACGCACCAAACGGGTGGGCTATCCAGGCCGCTGCTGCGGAGGGCCATTACGACGTGGTCAAAGAGCTTCTCAACCGAGGTGCCGACGTCAATGATCTTACCACAAACGAGAACTTCCCACAAGGAACGGCTCTACAGGTCGCTTGCGAATCGGGCAAGGTGGAAATTGTCACACTCCTGCTTGAG